TTGCTAATCAGCGCGCGCGAAAAGCACCATTCAATTGTATAGTATAATTTATACTAATAAATGATATCGTGATATTCAAATTACTTCAATTATGGAAGAGTAACTCCTTACCCTCTCATATTGCATCATTCGAGCCAGCAAGTCATTCAACTGCTTGTCTTTCATAGCTGCAGCCTTTTCTGCCTGTTTAGGAAGGACAAACATAAATAAACTATAATACTGCGTGTTGCACTCAGACCTAATTAAAAGTAATTTTAACAATGCAAAAAAAAAAAAAATAAATAAATAAACAGATTTTGTGGTCAAAGAATATACTTATTGTAATTACAAAACTGGTTTATTAGATCAGTTTTTTAATTCAATCAAGGTGCAATGATCATCTCATAGAGAGCTGATTACTTATCACGTCTGTGGCTGGGATCTGATAGATGATCTGACTCTTGCATGCATGTCTAATTTAAGGATAAACACCATGGTTTTTCTTTTTACTCAAGGGCGTATACATGTATGTAGGGCATGGGCAGTTTGGTGGACTTTGGGGCCTGTATGATTGTAACAAACCTGATCCAAAGTCACGACAGTCTAGTACATATGTTATTACTAAGAAAAGATTTGTTGTTGTTTCGCTTTATCCAAACTAAAGCAAAACTAACTAAAAGCAGTTTCTTGAAGCAAACCCTTTTGAATTATTACCATGATCATCCTGTCTTTAAACTGCAAAACTTCCAGCTGTTCTTTTTGTAGCGTGCTGTTTAGATCTCTGATTCTTTTTTGCTGATATGCTGATGGAACACCTATCAAAAACAGCATCTTCAAATCAAAAATTGATTTGCGTCAAAAACAGAGAGTGCAAAATACACACATGCCTTAACCCTCCAAACACTGGGAGTGACTCACATCTAATTTCTCTTTACAACATCATCCCAAAATCTAATTCATGTCGAGACAGGGGATGTATAGAGAACAGAGTGGAGAACTTGTATACTGATGTTAGGGTGTGCCAGTTAAGTATACTTTGAGTTGTAATCCAAAAGCATGTGCTGTTAAATGTAACTCTGAGTTACAATCCAGACTAAGAATTTAAATACCCACATTTCATGTAAACATGTAACTGGGTAAAATAAAAAATAAATCCACAAATTTATAGTACAAACTTTTCATTAATTCTATGTAATTGTTTTCTTAGAGAGTAACACTGATAAATTACCCTGTAAACAGTTTACCACATAAATGTACCTTTTTCAGTTAAGGCCTTGACTTCTTCCACATATGAAGCTACACCATGCATGTCACTTGATGCCTATAAGTCAGCAAAATTTGACATGGTCATGTACAATCATTTAAACCCTCTACCCCTTGTTACTCAGAAAACTAAAAAACCATTCTGGCATTAGGATTGTTTGCACAAAGCTGAGCTTTGAAATAATCCCCAGAGAGGTCTTATATTGTAATCTGTGGTGCCTGACTCTCAAAGCTATCGCTTCATAAAAGCAAATTCACATGAGAGGTCGAAGACAAAAGTGAGTTGCCTCTGGTATCCAAGCTGAGTTTGATGGTATGTATGGCCAGAACCAATCATTATATGTTCTTTAATAGGAATGTATCTTTACAGCCCACAGATAATTTAAGAGTTACATACACTGTAACAGGAATAAAGTGAAAGCTGCATACATGTAATTTGGTACCTTTTCAAGTTCCTTTTTAAGATTTTCTATCTGTTCATCTTTCTCAGCCACAGCCTATCAAGGAGGAATCAAATTTCACACAAGCAACATGTAACTAGGATTTTGTTATTAGAAATACATGTTAAAAAAAAAGAAACTAAACAATATTTTGTAAGTATATGGAGTAGATGTAAAGCTATAGATATACCTGTTGTAACATGGCCAAGGATGTTTTGTCTGCATCCATTTGAAGCCCTGCAACTTGTTGTTTCAGTTCTTGGACCAATGACTGGTACTGTTCTAGCTCAATTTCTTTTGCTGCAAGCACAGCCTATCAAAGATATTTGAAGGAAAATGAAAATTTTAGCACTATAGACCACCATCTTTAAAGCCCAACTGTAAGCACTAATAGCATAAGAGGTTACTGAATAAAATTTTTCTGGGTGTGAATCACCCATTTACACCTTCCACTCTTCCACTTTAGAGTTCACAGCTGCCATAATCTGTTCATCAGTGTCTGTTTTGGTTGAAAACTGCATCCTGAGATCTTGAACCTAGTAATAAAGGGACAACAAATGGGTCTAAATAATTATGGATTGCAAATTATTGCCTCTATTGTCATTAAACAAGGGGCTCAAAAGAAACTTCTTAATTCATTTGATGAACACGGCAAAGATTTCCATTACATGATCAACAATTAAAAAAACAAATAATTGCTTTGGGCATCCATTCCATCAATCTCTGTAGCCTTAGAAAGAAGCATTATTTGGGGCACTTTTAAGACCTGGTTAGGTCACTTGACTCCTTTTGTTGATAAAAATATTCTATTGGTTGCAGCTACATAAATTCAAGTCCAGTCACATCAATCTTTGATGTTATATATGACCAGGGTTTTAGCCCATTTCTCTTCTGTTATGCTCAAAAGAAGAGCTTATGGCTATTAGTTGCATATAAAAAAAAACAGTGTTGTAAAGTTTAATTTTGAAGAAACCTTGGAGGGAGGGAGAGGGGGAAAACCAGTAGACAAGAGATGAAGTGACAAGAAAGATGGAAGGAATAAGCAGTCACAGCCCTTACTGACTCTTAAAAAATTGGAAGATTGCGCAAAGGGGTTAGTTAGCATTAATCTTGTTGTATTGGAGTGAAATTTGTAAAAAATTCAGCAGCTCTGTCACAATGAAAATGATTCAATACCAATGTATGAATTTATTTTTACATTCTACCATGAGTTTATGGTTGTTATCTTACTATGCCATATGAAAAAAAGTACAATTCATATGATAATGATAATGATAATGATAACCTGTGCTCTGAGGGCATCCCTTTCTTTCCTCATGTCATCTATGATCATGTCTGACTGCTGCAGAACAATCTGTTAAATTTTTCAGAAACATACCAGTTTGTATACAGTTCTTCCTTACAAAAGTAACACAATTATACACCATTTCATACACATCAAGAAATCACTCAAAATAAATGCATACAATTTAGTACATAAATGTTACATTAAAAGCATAAGCCAACCTTCAGTTTGGTGTATTCATCTGTCATCTTGTCCATCTCTGCAGTTGCCTCTTGAAGTTCTTTCTCAGTGTTTTTCATGCGTTCTTCTAAATCATCATTAGCCTCTTGAAGAATCTGTGCAAGAAAGAATGAAAACATTTTGTTTCGATATATGATATGAGCTGTATAGACAAAAATTGAAAGATACTTCCTGTTGTAATAACAATTGGAGCATCTGAAAGTATGTAACAGGATGACACTTTGAAAGAGTTTATTGCTTCTGAAAATGAATGATAACACTAAAGAACCTATTGAAATGGTTTTCAAATGATTATCAAATAGGGGATGTTGTTCTTCACACAGACTGAACTAAGGTCAAGTTGGTAGTTTACCCTTATTTCATCCAGATACTCAGACAATTCCTTGTTTTTCTTGGAGATCTTCTCTTTAAAGTCAGAACCTTCTGCTCTGCGCATTGTTGTACTTTCTCTCTAGAGGTAAGAGATACAAAGTTTTGAATACACCTGTTTTTGGACATCCCTTTGATACCAAAGGTTTAGGCTATGTTCTTTTTTCTCCCAATACACAATATTGTTAGACATGTTCTGACCTAGTAACTCACCAAGAAGCACTTGATGGAAACCAATATACATGTATTAACATATATTCATATAAGTCTTGACTTATCTGCTGAGGTATACTGTCCTGAAAATTGCAATACAGTAAATAGCTTGACTACTATTAAAACAATCTATTAATAAGCTTAGCCACATTCATTTATTTTATATAAAATGAAAATTTAGGACTATTGAATTGTTTAAAAATCAATGTTACTGGTTTTAAAATCTTTATGTAATTAACATAACATTAGTTTCTACATTGATTCTCATGGCCACCATATAAAAGGTAAAGGTTTGCTTTTGATTGTACCTGTTGTTCAAATTGTCTTTGTAAATCTCTTAGGTCCATCTTGTTCCGTTCTATCTGAAACAATTAATTATAGGCACAATATTTCACTTGCATCATTCTCAACTTTATTTAAGTATTTACTGTAGTAAAAATTCTTACCAATTTGAATGGGTCTACAGCTCAAACTAGGAGCAAGATGATTTGCCAGCCTAGCTACGGACATCACATTGGTGATAAATAATGTATGTAAAAAAAATATAATTCTGAAGCAAGTCATTCCCACTGCACTTGCTGACTGTGTGCTTAATAATAGGAAAACCCTTACAGCAAAAACTGGGAACATGTTTTGTAATCAGATGCAGTTGCAAATAAGTATATCACTTGCAATATCCATAGGAAATTATAATTTTAGATTCTCTGTCAGTGCTGCTGACAGTTAAGTTGGGCTGAATGCAGGAACTAAACATTTTGTACACTGATTGCACTGACTGTACTTTACCAATAACATCTACCACAGATAGCAGAGTTGGCTTGGGTGGTTAAATACAATGTCTTGAATGTTATAGTTCAGAGCATAAGCTTAACATAAACATTCTCACATCTCTTTTTAAGCTCTTGTTTTCTCTTTCAGCTTCATCTAGCCTAGCAGCCATCTAAACAGAGCACAAAAAGGAGAGAAATACAAGAAGGAAAAGACATCATTAGAACCTTTCAATTCCCACATTACTCTAGAGGTGCAAGTTCAGCTGTTTAGGATGTGACTAAAACTAATTCAGTGAATTAATTATACAACATAAATCTCATAAATTTGCTTACTTGATCACTTTTGTTTTTCTCTTGGAAGTAGGCTTCCGCTTTTTCATTGAGTTCCTGTTCCAAAGCCTGCATGTAATGACAGGATATTATTAAATCCAAGGCAAGTTAGTATAAAGAAGTCAGAGGGTTTTTTTTATTTTGACCTTAATTGCACATGTAAGGTATATCTTCTCAATAATGACATCCAACATCCTCCCTGTGCATGTGGATGGACATTTGTTTTCTTTGATGACATCTCTGGTGATGGAAAATGTGGCCTCAGTAGCTATTATAATTGTGGTTGGAAATTTTGAAGACTATGTATGAAGTAGATGGAAAAAAATTATTATCAGTAACTTCTGCCAGAAGTAAGTGCATTTGATCATTCAATTACAATGCAGGATTGTCCATTTGTACAAACTAGAAATTACCAACTTAAGTTCAGGGGATTGAAGTTTGACTAACACAAACTTCAAAAGTGTGGGAATGTTGAAGTTTCTAATCCACAGGCACATGAGGGTTTGATAAAGGTACATGTTCATTTCTCATCACACCAATATAATTATTAATTCTTGTTAAAATTATTCTTAGTGACTGTATATATTATTACCCTTTTGCTGTTTTCAATCTTCTCAATTTCTCTGATTAATTCATCTCCACCAACACCATCATATTTCTATCAAGCAAACAAAATTTACAAGAGATTTCTTGATGAAATTAGGATGTCATTTACAATACAGTATCAACTAATTCACTAAATCTACATGTACATATAATCATACAAGCAATGTGGACACAGCCTTTATCAGTTTGCTTTTAGATGACATCATGTTTGAATTCAGCAGAGAGATAGCCCTTCTGATTGCATAACAAACCACTATCATGACACCATACAAAATCATTTTTCAAGATGAAAAGAAAGATTAAATCTTTTGAAAAGAACCTTACCCTGTATTGTTGGATCTCTCTCTTTAAATGTTCAATTTCTTCCAATAACTCTTGCTCTATTAGGAGAGAATTATTTTAAGTTGTTCAATAGTGGAGGCCCTGTCTATGATCACATACCCAAGCTGTGTAAAGGTAAATATTGTTTACTAATATAAGAGAGAGATTTTAGAAATTACACCAAGTCATGTATTTTCAATTGGTAACTTTAATTAGCTCCAAACAGTTCTAGATTAACTATGCTTATCTCCATTGTGTTAGTTTATAACTGTCTTCTATCTGATACTGCTGATTCTACTAACAGGGTCAATTAGCAGACATCAAGCATAAAAAAAAACTTGTTACACTCTAGGGATGAACCCTGAAATGCTTTAATCCAATAATTGCATGCAATACTGTTAGCAGACCATCCAAAGCGGCTGACAATAAAAAAAATCAATAACTGTTAGCCATGAGAAAATTTACTGAACAACTTCCCTCAAATCTATTGAGCTAATAGTATCATACTAACCTTGATCTCCACCTCCAGCTTTTACAATTTCTTCAGCAGCCAACTCTGCTTGCAATGATTTAACCTACATCGATATATGTAAGAATGAAGATTATTATTCCTTCATTTCTACCATCTGGCTTCTCATTCATTTTATTATCAGCCCTACATTTTCCATCTATGTATGATAAAAATTTGTTTGACCCTTTGTTTTGTTTCTTTTTGTTTTATTTATGGTGTTAAAACCACTACATTCTTTAAAAGTTAATTTCTTCATTCTAAAATATAAAAAAAAATACCTGTGCCTATCAAATGATACTGTAGAGACAATTTATATGTTTGACACTCCTGTACCCAACCAAGATTGACCAATCCTGCCTCTTGCACTTACTCTAGAGTTGCCTCTAGCAACAGTTCTCCCTGACTATCTGATCCTAAAAACATGTTTGTAATAATAAAAAGGACAAGCAAACCAGAGAAATAAAATCTTAAAATTTACCTTCATAACAGTCTTAGTAACCTCAAAAAGTTTTATCATCTTGTTTACATCTTCAGCTTCTGTCGAGTCTGGATTAACTGAGCCCTTAAAGCGTAGAAAACCAATATAGATTTAACATTTTCCTTAAGTGCGTAACCTTGGTATGAAATAAGTAGTAAAGATGGAAATCTGTTTAGTTTACCATCTCCAAGACGCCGTACATCTCATCGGCTGCATCCAGGTCTTCTCTAAGCTCCTCTACATTGGCACCCATAATTCTTCCCCAGTCTAAAGGCGGCATTTTACCTCCTTAGGTTCTTCACTATTTGTATATAAAGTAATTCGACAGAAATCAGAGGATTATATATTTATCGCTCTTTAAGTTGTTTTCTTTTTTTGTTATTGTAATCTTCGCGCGCCGCCATTTTTGAATCTTCTAAACATTTATGAAGGGTTGGATATAAACAAAGTTTCTATTGGACAGTTGTAAAAAACGACCAATGAAAGTAGAGTTTAGTTAAAAAAAAAAATCGGTATCGTGAGGACTTGTGGGTATTAAAGAACATTTATTTTGTATTACATGAAGGGGTATAAGTTTCTCAAGACTTTGATTATTTAGTTGGTATTTTTCAACTAATTCAATAGGCATATTTTGTGTTTCTTTCAGCGGCCACAAAAAGAGTATTTTCCTCAAGTAAAATGCTATCCTTCTAATTTGAAACGGTGTTTTAATCGTTCGAGTTTTTCGGCAACTTCTTGAAACTGTCTTAGCTTAACAGTCACTATTGCGTTCCATCAAACTGAGACATCAGTTACTAAAAAACGTTATCTTCCACGGCTACACTTTCCACCTTGTGAGTTTCAGCTCTAAAAATGAAATTCTACTTTTCCGGTGAATAAATTTTTTCGACATCTACGCATCTGGGGAAGCAGTGTAACTTATGCAAATTTAGGTTGTGTTTTTGAAATGGAACAAAAATTGTTCAAAAGAAAAGGTTTAACAAGGTTTTACAAAGGTTTTAACAAAGGTTTTACAATTAATCCGAGCTTTCTTTTTTCCCTGTTAAAAATCCTGGCTACGCCCTTGCGTTATTATATAGAACATTTCAGAACATTAATTTCCTGAAAATAATCCTAAAAGATAACGAAACGAGCTTTAAATCTGCTGCAATTTTACACTGAGTAGCAGATTAAAAGAAAGAGGATTTCCGATCATTAATCATTCGGCCAAAGATAACAACCTCTAAGAGGAATACACACATTGCGCCGCGCAACCTAAGCCCGCAAATGTCAGCGTCCACGACGATCATGAAAATATAGCTGCAGAGCAAGGTGAATGAATTTTTAAGTTCTCTCACAAAATTCAAGAATCAAGCGAAGGAGTATGGTTTTAGGAAAATGACTTTGCTTTACAAGAAAGCCCCTTGTAAAGATAAAAAGAATTAAAAAGAAGAATTCTGATATTATTGCTTTCCTTTCAACAGTCGACGCAAAAATTGAAAAAAAAAATTTATTCGACTTAAATGAAATTTGTAACCTCAAGCTCACCGCTACGGACAGCACTCTTACTTCTTGCGCCTCACTTCCAACTCTCACCAACAGGTATCCCTTACTAATGATATTCAAGCCTGCAACAAGGAAGACATGCAGTTTTGCCAAAACAGGATAACCTGTTTTGGCCACTGCTCCTCGGCATCCAATCATCTGTGATAACAAAGAAATCGGTGCCACGGCAAAGACTGATTTGCTCGAATGTCTAAAGGTCGCTCCTGAAAAACTTAAAGACATCCATCTTGAAGACAGGTAATGCTGACTTTTGCGACTTTTTATCGAAATGAGCGAAATGGTATGCGAAACGGCTAATGGGCGAAACTGACCTGTGGGCGAAACGACTTGTGAACTGCCCAGTAAGTGAGATGAACTGTTAGCGAGTTTACCTGTATACGAATTGACTTCTGGGAGAATCGACCTTAGCTGTGGGCGAGGTAGCTTATAATCCATCGGCAGAATTTGATCGACTTCTATCAACCGAAAAGGCGTAGACGAGGAAGCTCGTTTCAGTACAAACTGAAAGTCTAATCGATACAAGTCGATTCAAGTCAAACTGAAGTCGATTTGATACATCGACAAAGTCGATTGAATACACGCAGAAAGTTGATTTGATACAACTTAAATCATTTCGATAGTTTTGGGGTTTTTCATTTGCCTACGATGAGATAAACTAAGGTACACCAAAGAAGCGCCGGAACCTGGTTAATCTTAAGTAATTCAAAACGACCAATTAGACTTTGGCAAACTGAGCTATGACGTTGGCGAAACGACCCATAGGGATGCTAGCGAAACGACCGGTTACCACATGTTTACCCCCGGTATTTCGTCAGGTTTTACTGCAGTTTGCTAATACCTCTTAGCCAATCTGTGTCAGTGGTGGCGATCGGCGTATATCGTCATGCACTATATGCGTATAAAATCGCCGATATCTAGTGCGCCCAACTGAAAATTCACGCGCCCGATTCAAGTGTATCAGAAACTTAACGATTTAGAATGACGAAGCCGAAACAACACACGGAAACCATGGCGATAGTAGTAACAGATTTGACAAAAAATATCGATTTTTTTCGGAAAATTGGTAAGCATTGGGAATTTCTGTAAGGGGCTATGATTACAGACAGTCATCTGATGGGGGTGCATTCCACTGCTTAATTCTTGAAAAAATGCCGAAAGCTGACCGCAGAGTAGTTAAAACTCATTTAAAAATTCTGTAGTACCACTTTTTTAATCAAATTCCAGTTATCCGTTGGTAAGTAGAGCACTAGGCGCAAAAACAACTTCACAAATTACATTGGCAAAGAAAGTACTCTTCTCAACTTTCCAAAACGTACGCGGGGTAGGAGGTGGGTCGGTTCCTTTTAGCAATATCGCTACCATAAATAAGAGCTTTTTCCGGGTGCGAGGAGGGACATAGGTCTTTCTGCAAGTATTAATTCCCATAATAGATGGACGTGATCCTTCACTAAAAAGACTATTTATTGTTTGCCAGTCTAAAAAGTTAATCGTGTACGCTTCACTACAGACGAGATGAAATAGTGTAGTCTGGAAGTGAGTTGTTACAATAGACAAGAATATAGATAACTAAATAGAAAAATCAAACCCTAAGCTCTTTGTAGGGCTCAAATAGTTCTAAGCAAAGGAATAAACATGCATGGATGAGTGGAGTCGGTACTAGCTACTTTTGCTTTTGTAAGTCACTGATTATCCGTCGCAAACAACGATCTAATCCGCGGTGATACGAGCAACGATTGGAACACCGTCTTAATGTTTTCAAAAAGTTCCTGCTGTTCAGGACAGTTTCACATGCTTCACACTTTTCCAAATGTCTACTTGAGCTGGATGTTCCCGGAGTAACAAAAGTCTGATCTGGTTTAGTTTTCATTGCCATCTCTGGGTGTTTCATTCTCCACTGAGTAGTTTTTGACCTTGCGAAAGGTTTCAACACCTTGGTGGATTTCACAGAACGTCTCTTTCTAGGTGTACTCGTCCTATGTCTTCGAAAATTTTCTTGTGATACTTCATCAGAGGGTCTATCATCTCCAATGTCGATATCGTATTGTCCAGCTGTAATACGGGAAGAGGTTTGGGTTTGAGCATCCTTTGTAGGGCTCACTACAACCTATAACACGAAGAAGTTTTTCTTAAAATTTAGCGAGACTTGGCCCGTCGATCTGCTTCTTCTTTCCAGCCACTCAGTCCCCTTAAGATAATAGACAGGGCAAGTCAAAATTTGATAAAGGGGCTAAGTTTCTAAAGAACTGTGGTGCTGCGTCGGTGGGAGTGTACAACAGAGTAATTCAGTGTTATCAAATGAGTTGAAAACGTAAATTGGCCACAATAAAGAGTTTAATGGCTGACGTTTCGAGCGTTAGCCCTTCGTCAATCGCTCTCACGAAGGGCTAACGCTCGAAACGTCAGCCTTTTAACTCATTACGGTGGCCAATTAACGTTTTCAAGTCAAAATTTACCTGGGTAAAGTGGTTTTTTAAAGTACTTTCAAAAGAGCACTGCTCTCCTACTTCTTTCGTTTCCACACGAGAAGGTGACTTTTGTTCACCTGCCATTAAAAAATTATAGAATTTAACCATACTCAATAACTTGCTGGGCCAGACCGAAACAAAAAAAGAAAACAAAGCACTTCACAAAATCTGCATATTATGTTACTCTATGCAATCCAGAAGTAATTCACAAGTCTTGAACCGGATTAAATCTTTAAAGACAGTGTATGAGTCAAGAAATATCTGAAAGGGACTACATCGTGCGGAGACATGCGATAACACTACTGTGTGCCTAACCACGATGAACAAACACAAGCTTTGTCAAATTTTACATCTGATCTTTCTTAATAGAATCACCAATTCATCAAAGCATCGTCATCCTATTGTAGAAGGCTTTTAACTTGTTACCCTAAAATCAAAAGTTTTGTATGTCAAATACTGGCTGTGTTAACACTTCAAGATGGGAATTCGCAGAAATACCTTTTGATTTTCCAGTGATACAATGAAGAATGAAAATCGCAACCCTTCTAAATTCTTCAGACTAGAAATAATAATAATAATAACAATAAAACAAACAACTTGTAAGAGATAGTGGCGGATGATTCTTTTCAGGGTTCTCTATACAACTTTGGAGGCCTAAAAATATCGTGTATTGTAACCATTTCGGGTGACAAGTGAACTGTTCGAATTGGCTATCCAGTAGGGCGAGATAAGCCCACTGAACCCTATCTTGTCCGCAGGCAATTTCCCGGGTTGTTTGCTCTTACTCAGACGAAAAAGGTGCAGTTGTAGAAATAGCTTTTCCCATAGAGACTTGAGTCCAGTATCAAGAGAACCAAATACTTAAATGATATATACAAAAAAGCTGTCAACAAAGCCTTCGAAAAGTCTCAGCGCCGAAAACGAGTGTCCATAAGTCTTTTTAAGTCTACCTCAAAGTCATGTTCACGGTCTCTGAACATTTGGCTTATCAATCAGATCACGCACGTCCCTCGTGAATAAAAAAACGTATCAAGAGAGGGAAGGGAAGAGAAAATAGAAGTTTGAAGTATTGCATTCAAGAAACTAGAGGAAATTTAAACATGGGCTCTTGACTGGCTCACATACTTCTAAACTTCGGGGCAACTTTTGTCTATCAAGGAAGAACTCTTCCGCCGGTTTTTACAGATATGGTGCGAGTGCACCTTGAAGGCAGTCTAAACAGTCAGCGAGAGTTTCTTAATAGATGACTGTAATTCTCCAGCCTAACCTTAACACCGTAAATTAAATCCTTTATCGACAAAGCTGTTTGTTGCTGCTCAGGTACCTGTTCTTTGGTCAGGAGCTCAATCAAAGCCTCTACACCTCCTCCGTCTCTCAATAGCTGTTGATTCCGCTCTGAAAGGTAGATG